CGGTTAAACAGGAAAATCCCATACAAACGGCGGAGGATAACTACGCTCACGGAAGCTCCGGAGAACCTGGTATAGTCAGCATATGTGTAAACGCGGAGGATATGGAGGACGCGCCAAACGGTGCTCCAAATTCCGGGGTTAATTGTATGGATATCCTCCCGTGTTTAGGGACCCTAAACCCTAAACTCACCACGCCATAAAAAAACACTCCAAAACACCTGTCGATATGTCCTGTCAATGTCATATATATGACATATGGTTGTAATCTCCATACTCAAATACATATTCTTATAAATTTTCAGCTTGTTAAAGATGTTGGATGTCGAAGTAGGTGTCCTCATCGCTGATTGGCTGATTTGAACGTGCATGTTCACTTAATATGACCAATACAACATTTGATTGGTTACTTAAAAATAGGGTTTATGGAATTCACGTGGCTGATCATTTTTTCGCAATGTCTTTTGGGGGGGCGGTCCTCCGAGTTTTGTCGCTCGCCATACTAAACTTAAATCAAAAAGACTCATCATTGTCGAAGATCTCATCCTGTACTAAACAATGGCTAACCCCAACTTAAAAAAATCATTATGTAGTTCTCGGACCCGATCTACCTTTCCCATACTGTTAATACAGGAAGGTGATGGCGGTAACGGATCACATTATTTACTACCAGCAACTCTAACACACAAAACTGCACCATCACAGCGTTGATCGAGAGCTGGTGCTAGGCGAAATTGTGGGTGATAACAGCGAGTGTCGAGCTCCACTACTGTGACTGTGTGACTGTGTCTTAGTATGGAGAGAGCACTATCCGGATTGACTCACAGCTATACTGAATTAGTATGTAGTATAGTCTAACTAAGGGGGGGGGGGGGGGGTCACCGCAAGGTTTTCCTCCACAATCCCATTCCTTCTCCGTGAACAACAAACGTTCCGTGTCTTGACGTGTCATCTCCTCAATTGCTCTACCTTCCAGCTGTGCTTTCGCACGGGAAGGTGTTTTCCGGCAGCTGTTGATTGACCTGCGCCGGCGCCTCTGTCATCTTGACAAACTGCTGCATCTTTTCTTCCTCCACTTCCTCGAAACGAAGAGACGGATGACTGTTATCCTGGTATTGAGGCGGAAGCCGACCATGCTGAATCACTGGCG